CTGCTTTGGGTTTGCCAACCCAGGCAGTAAATTCTTTGTAACCACTGTTCAGATTAAACAGCCAACTAGATCTAGCCTCTGCTCAGAAAAGCAGGCAGAGAAAACTCTGCCACAGGAGGGTATCAACATTCTTTTTCTTCATTGCTAGAAAACACATTTGTGTCAGGGATACAGGAAGGTGGTTGCTGTTTTATAAAGTACACGTACATTTGCAACTTGGAAATGATAAGTTGAATATAAAAAATCATTAAGCCAAACTGGTATACACAGGCCAGGAGCCTATGCAAAGCAACATGAACAAACACTTCCATTCTCCGAGAAACTGATTGATAGTAGCCTGCAATGAACTTGTTATTAGAGAGAATGAAACACAAGGTACAGAAACTGTAATCAGAAAGATGGAGTGAGTACTGCATAAACAATGAAGGAGGAGCAGGATTCAGTTTTAAATCTGCTGCAATACAAATCAAAACAAGCATCTGTTTAGAACAGCACTGAATCATCATTGAAATTTTATGACCCAGCAGTCAAAAGCAAAGAAAAATGTTATTAGCAGTTGCCTACTTCCCTTTGCAAGTAATCCTGCATAAACAATAGCTGCATGATTTAAAAATAAAAATAAATAAATAAAAAAAACACCTCGGACAACTTTGGCAGATCTAAAATACACAGATAAAATTGTCTTACAATCAGTTGCATGAAGCATTTTCCTAAACTTAAATTGGGGCAAACTGTTAAGACTTAATTAGAAAACCCTGGTACTTTTGAAAAGGTTTTCTCCATGTGATTTAGAAAGCTTAAATCTGTTTTTCAAAGCAATTCAAATGCTCAGGTGTTCCTGAAAGTTTGCCTTGAGATTTTTGAACATACCAGTAGGATCTGCAATGACCAGTTACCACATAAAGAACATATTCGTACAACTCGCATAAATCAGCTCAGTCCCAAAAGTTTCTAGCTGACTGCACCATTTAAGAGCTTGCTAGGGCTCTCTAGGGCATACGAAGATTTCACATGTGTACACTACAAATGCCTCACAAAGGTCACAAAGCAGTCATAAATTTCAAACGACAGCATTGTACTCTTGGCACTTCAGAGCTGCAAGCTATTCAGCTGCAAGTAATATATATCTTTTAACATAAAACAATCAGATTACAATTTATCTGCTATGTCTCCAGCTATAAAGATTTTTAAACTCTATACTTAAAAAATGTTAATGGCATTACCCATGGGAAACCTTATAACTTCATAATATCCAGGAGCTTCTGTTCTCTTCACAGGTTCCATGAAGGGCCAAGCGCTTTGATGGCTCTTTGATAAAGAAAAAAGTAAGGTATCTAATATGGAAACTCTATATTGGAAATCATTTAAAAATCTTTACAGAAGGTAAACTAGAACTAGCACTCACCTTCACCTGCTGCAGGATGGTTTTTAATGTGCTGTAAAGTTGATCTGGATCCTTGGGCTCCTTACTTGAAAGAAAATATGAATACAAAAAGATTAGCTTGAATCCCTATCTTCATTACTATGACATGCATCTTACCTAAAATCAACCCCAAAGTTTCAAGCATTTTATGGAAGAAATAAAATTAAAAACAAACAAACAAACAAAAAAAAAAATCAACAAAACCCAACACCCCACCCCCACCCCCCCAAAAAAAAAAAAACAACCAAACCCACTTAAGAACTCATCCCTTGCAGATTATTTATCTATTTTCCAATGGATGGAAGGAAATATCAAACGACATTATTTAAAGACTTTTCTCAAAGGAATCTCCAAACTGCTTCATCATTTTACTTTGTGCAGCACTTACCCTCTTTCTTTTCCGCTTGGTTTCCAGCCAGTCTCTCCTATACACCAACAACATGAGAGATTACATGAGAGCTACAGTAGGTCTAAACATTAACTGAGTTATTGCAACTCTAAAAAGATAAGCCATTTCAGCACTGCTGCAGTAAAATGGGTTTGTTTTAATAAAAGCTACTCCTAATAAATAACACAACCATCTAGCCTACAGACCCATTCAATTTCCTACATGTCTCTTCCTCCAAACTGCTGAAAAGATTCTAAAATATTCCTACATGAAACACACATTTTTTCAATAATTCAATGCATATTTTACCACAACCTCTGTAAAGTATAATGATGTCAAAGTTATCCAATTTGATTCCCTAGGGACAGAGAATAAATTGCAGAAAAGCACAGTAGAAAAAAATCCCCCAAAAGATGATACTTAAATATTCTAATTCTGTTTTGTCCTGTAAGTCCATGTTTAGCACAGAACAAATCCTTGTACAGGACTGCAGTGCGTAACAGTGCTGCCAAAGGGAAATTGCTGACTACACTGAGATACAAATCAAAGAGGGATCACATAAATAAAATTACACACAAGTACATAAAAGAGCATCAGCCTGGGATGCCTTGGGGAAGTCTCAAAGACAGCAATTGTACTGGAAAAACAACAATCTTCATAGAAATCAAATCAACAGACCAAAACAATTACATTTTAATCAAAAAGAAATACGTGACTACACTAGTATTTCTAGTCTTGGACCTTTCTTGGGCTGTTCTGCTTGTGTTCTACATTAAAACAGGATGATACATACTAATTCCAGGAATGCTTTCTATAGGAATCTGCCGTACTCCATCTTTGAAGCAAGAAAGGCCAGGATAAACTTTTCGTATCTGAGCTTGTTTCCTTTCTATGAGCTTTTTAATGATCTGTAATAAAGCAGGAGAGAAAACAAAAAATAATTAATTTGCTCAAAAGTAACCCAAAGGATTAATGCAAAGCTGTGATGATCAGAAACACTCTCGCTTCCTAATCTTATGGTCCTTATAGATCCCCTAAAGCTGCTAACAGGGGTGAGCTATCTGGTTCACTGATTCTGCAAATGAGGCTACCAAGCATCTCAGCTGCCTATTTAGGCACAAATCTGGAAGAAAAGGAGTCATTGCTTGCTGTATTGATCACAAGCAGCACAGCTCCTGGGAAGGTGGCAGCAGAGGTAAGGAAGGAAATTTCCTGGAAGCAGATTTGGGAACTGGCTCTAATTCTAACAGCTGGTGCTTCTGAACTGCTTCAGCACAGCCTGGTCAGAAATTTCAAGGCACATATTGAATGCACAAATTTCAAGGCACATATTGAATGCACAAATTTCAAAACACATATATGTTCATATTCCAAAATTTTAGAAATACCTGTTCACTTCAAAGTCTCCATATAATTGTAGGAGTTGCTTAGATAACAGTCAGAGATACTCTTACTCTTTCGAGGAAGTCAGAATGATGCCGCTCTTTGGAACCAATATTCTGTTCTGCTTGTAAATGCCAGAATAGGCTTTCCCAATTCTGAGGTACACTCTGTTCTGCTTTGCAACCTCATTACCTCAATTCTAAGTAATTTGCTCTGGTGCTCTTGATACACACTTAGACATTTACCTAAGCTTTGTGTGTCCTGAATATATCACTTGCAAAATGGCTTACTTCATAACTGGGAGTAAACAAATGCACAGCCACTCAGACCAGCACAGTTTGTGAGACCATTTTCCTTGGAAATAATAAAGATGGACATACTTTTATTTTTAAGGACCTTCACTCCCCCACACATAGTATTTTCTCTCAAAGAAGAGGAAAAGAAAAAAATCAGACTTTCAATAGAGGTTGCAAATGTTAAGAGAAATACAGTATACAACACCACCATGGCCAGATTCCAGCGTAACGTCAAAATATTTTGAAACTAATTGTTAAATCCGCCTTAAACCCTTCTTACAATTTAGGAATTAGTGGCTCTTCCTGATTAACACAAGCTGTTCAGTCAGTAACACTGATTACTCACAAGTCAGCGGGTCACGAAGCTTTGCATAAAGGGATTTTTCATATTTTTCAGGATGACTGTAAATGAGCTTCAAATCAGGCAGTGCAAATTCACAAATGGTGGTCTGTGACCGTTACCCAGTGTCAGGTGACATGGTGTTAGCAGCCATAGGCAAATACTCTAATTCTTTAAATAAAAGCTTACATCCTATGAAAAGCTTCACTTCTAAAAGGACAGGACTAGAAAAGTCTGATGCCAATGTACTGGCCAATACCAGCAGCAAACCAAATCAGTATGCAATCCATACTGTCAACATTCAAAATTCTACTTATGTCCAGGTATCATCTTCATTGCTTTTGATTTGAGCAGACAAGTGAACGTTCTTCATAAAGCTGCAGACTGTGAGGGCTATTTCTAAATTTCCTTGGAACAGGGAGAATAAAAAGCCTGATCTGTGTTTTGAGTGTCAAACAGGCAATCCTAAGATGCACTTCCAAAGGTGTAAATATTTATTCTCAGAAAAGATACAACAGCATAGATCAGTGTATAACAACAGCTTTCTTTCTAATAATGGTAGACATGAGATGTCTGGAGGACCAAGGCACTTTATCTCCAAGTGGACTGTCTCCAAGTGCTTTGGAACAATATGGACATCCTACCAAATGAGAGAGTGAAGAATGCAAAATAACATGTGCTAATAAAGCAGTTCCAGAGCCAAAATCTTAAAAACTACCTTAAGTTTTTGGGAGTGACATGCTGATGGTTTGGGCCTGGAACTGTATTACTGCAGTTAAGCATGCCTGAGATGTAACAGGCTACAAGAGACATGTCCGCTATCTGCCCACCCTGACAACATCCCATCCCTGAGGGGAAGGTGCTATGTCCAGCAGTAGACTGGGATCTGAAGAGTAACCCAACCAAGCAGACATGAGAGGGAAAAAATTATGATCTATGTTGTATGGATGTATGAAAACTTTCCCAATGAGTGAAGTTAAGAAACCTTGTAAACTAAATGTATAGCACTCAGGATTGTCCTTCTTTCTGCAAGCATGGGCCAAATAGTTCTATTGCAAGGAAAATGATTGTTCCACAAAGAAGCATTTTAACAAAATAAAAAGTCATGATATTTGACCAACCTTGAAAGAACAAATTATCCTTGTAATTTGTGTTTCTTTAAAAACCCAGGAAGGTATTTAAACACAACTGGAAACATCTTAATTATTTTGCTAATAAACTGCCTTATTATATGGAATATTATTATGGACTAAATAAAGAACATCCCACATAAATTCCAAAGAGGGACAGCCTGGAATTTAAGACAGCCCACCCTTGATTTGTATATTAAAACAGTGGCAGAAAAAATAATCCTCTTTCTTTCAAGTAAAATACAGGACATGCAGTACAAACACTCCATTCTGCAGTACAAACACTCCATTCAAAAGTCACTCAAACGAACACTACTGTCATTGGGGGAAAAAAAGAAAAAAATTGACAAAGCTGCAGAACAAACCAATCTCACAAGATTTTGTTTAGTTACCGTCTATGACAAAATTTAGCTATGAAATACTCCTCAAAAGATCAGTACTTTTCAACACTTCTGTTATCGTAAAGTTAATTTACGATTATTTAATTTAATGCTTCAACTGCAAAAGTCTGGCACTGGGACTTGAATGAAAGAATTATTCTAACTAATAAAAGTATACATTGCAATGTTTCAAGCACCAAAGCAAAGAAGAGAGCTAACCTGGCAGTGACTGAATTGTTTCTAAACATCTGAACGGATTATAATGTTCAATGTTTCATTTCAGCCTTTACCTCTTTTTGCTTTTTAATGATGACAGAAAATTCCGTGTAGGGGATCCTTGGATTTAATTCACATCCCATTAATGTGGCACCCTCATAATCCTTGATGTAGCCAACATATTTTGCTTTTGGTACTTTAATATCTTTGGAGAAACCCTGAAGAAGAAAAAAACTCAAGTTGTCATGATGCCATTTTTCTTTTACTTTTTTTTTTAACTGAAATGCTATGATGATTTAGAACCAAATTCATCATAATGTTAAAATACAGACAACACAACGGAAAGAATTACAGACCATGGTTCATAGTGTTGCAAACACCTTCTCATGGGAGTCACTTGATACAATAGTTAATTGCTTATATGTATAGGAAAAGAAGCGAGATAGGGGAGATGAAGAGATGGATGAAAAGATTTTTACTGTGGACAAATTTCCTGGATTTTTCCAAAAATTTGCTATTTTAATATTAAAGGATGCCAGTCCTGTAGTTATTAGTCAAGGGAAGTTGCTGTTGAAGTCGATGAGATGACAGTAATTTTATAGCCAGAAAAAACAATGATTTTTTTTTTTGCTTTTGTATTTCAAGTGAAAAAATAAGATAACAAATCCTATTAAAAGTTCCAAAGTTATACTAGAGCCTTCATACAGTTCAAAAGTTAATTGAAAAACAAACCCACAAAAGAATTAACCAAGACAATAAAAAGCAGTGTAGGACTCTCACTTTGGCTGCATTTTATTCTTCTGTTACAGTGGTATCTATGAAACCTCAGTAAAAATCAGGAATCCAACCAGGACTTCCGCCCCACAATTCATCACCAAAGGCTTCAGACTTACATGGAGAGTACACTGAGCACCTTCAAATTGGGGAAGGGACATTTCAGACGTGAAAAGGGTCTGTCTGCACAGACCTGATAGCAGTATCACAAGCCCAGCTTTTATGCATTTTGAACGTGTGAAGAGCAAATTGTATCGGTTTTATATACAGAATCATAGAACAGCTAAGGTTGGAAGGGACTTAAGGAGGTCATCTAGCCCCATCTCTGTTCAGAGCAGGTCTCATCAGATCTGGTTGCTCAAGGCCACGTCCAGTCTTGAAGACTGCCAAGGACAGAGATTCCACAACCTCTGGGGGCAACATTTTCCAGTATTTCACCACCCTTAGAACAGGCAGGGAAAAAAAAAATTTCCTTCTATCTAGTTGCAATTTCCCACGATCCAACTTGTGTCTGTTGACTCCATCTTCACTCTATTGTCTGACCAGATAGTGGACACCTGTTTAATCTATCAAATCTGTTTTGACAGATTAGACATTGCAATCTTTCCTGAACTTGAACCTCATGCTTCAAATCAGGAGGAGCTGTGAGCACGGTCAGGTAAGTTCTAGTCTGCCACAGGTATGTCTTGTCCTTCTTTACATGTCTTATAGAATCAGTGAAGGAATTGAATGAACGAAGAAACAGCCAACCCATATTCGACTGGTTTTTAGAGGTGACAAGTTATAGGCTATACCGTGCACCTATATTCAGATGATTCCGTCAAAGTAAAATGCATTATAAGCCATTATCATTACACAAGATGTGCATTTCGCATTACGCATTTTATCCAACTACTTTGTCACATCTAGTTGTTCAGTTCATTACTGCTAGATGTTAACTTCTTGCACCAAGTAATTTCTTACATTGACTTACTTGTTTTTTGAAGTAGCCGATAGCATATTCATCTGCATACGTAAGAAAGTTGAGAATGTTATGTTTGATGTGGTACTCCTTCAGATGGTTCATTAGGTGAGTCCCATAACCCTGTGTGAAACGTATGAGGAAAAAGCCATTACAAAGCCTTTGGGGACTGCACATACTAGAAACTGTGGACTGAGGGTTATCACAGACTGTTTTTCAAAATGCAGTCTTTCCTCTAGAACCAGTTTTAAAGATTTTCTCATAACTAACTTGGTGAGGCGTACGCAAGTTCAAAACGTTTTCAGCTTTGTAAGGATATCTTTGTGACCCAGCAGGCAACACAAAATATCACAGCTTCTAGCATCTGATTCACTTTTAATCTAAAAGAGACCAAAACCTAGACTCTCTCTAGTCTAAAGTGTAGCTCTAAAGAGGTACATTGTCTTGGAAGTTGTAATTCAAGGTGCACACATTTTTTTTTTCCTTTTAAGTTAGATATCAACTATTAATAGTCACATATTTGACTAATAACAAAACTACATCTTTTGTAATAATAGGGCGTCCTTTCTTAGCCATTTCACTTCTAAACTGCAAAGCAGTAGGAATACTGAAATGACTCCTTCTAGAGGAACCCGTTCTGAGATGAGATCTCTGTTTTATTGTGTTCTGTGCACCTGTAGCAGAAACAGCCTCTGCCTCAAAGGATTTATAATCTGAACTTATCATAGGGCATAAAAGAGAATAGTGAAACAGTTATTACCATAATAAGCAGCAGAAAATTATTCAGTCCACAATCGAATAAATAGCTATGCCTTCTGACTGCACACAGGAATAATTTCCATTTTCATTCAACCCCAAAGTAAACAAAAGGTTCCATCTATTCACATTTCCAAGTAAGCTAGTCTTCTCCTTCTGCTGTGAGATGAAGAAATGTAAAATAGACAGGAAAGCTCATAATAATGTGTTGTTCCTGCATATGTTCCGATTTTAACATCATGGAGACTAACTGGATACTTACAGAAATATACATGGAATCGTTTTGGGTACTCTGTTCTTGAAAACTGGGGAAATTTTTACATATGTACATAAGCCAGAAAAATAAATTAGAAAGTATATACTTCTGATTTAATTCACAATTTAATAGCACCAAACATGGAAATAGCCAGATAAAAGCAAGTTAGGTAAGTGCTGAAGCTCAATACAAAAAATTTAGTAGTGACACATTTTCTTTAAAATCCTACTAATCTAGGTACAAAATTTGTGCAGTAGTCTTTCCTTTCTGGCTAGTGTTTGGAGCATCTGGTATTCAGATCCCATATTCAAAATTAAGAGCTCATATGTGTAATAGTAAGTACCTCTGAATTTGAGGAAGCTCTTAAAGCCATATGTTCACTTGTTAAAGTGGCACACATCATGCACGGCATCAAATACAAAGAAGTGGTTTGACAACTGACGATTGGTTAAGTGGTACAGCATTTCTTAGAACTCAAAAGTACTCAAGATAATGAAGAGACTTTCTAATTGCAAATTTGAGTTCTCAAATTCTTTGAAGAGGACAAAAACTCTGAACCAAAATTTTTAATGAAAAATGTTTTCCTTAAATGCAAGCTAGCAGTACATCAGCTAGCCAAGCTCCTCACTTCCCTTCTCATCAGCAGGGTGAAAGGAACAGCATATGAGAGACTGACATTTTATTTACGCCTGAAACATTGCAATTCATTCCAGTAATTCCAAAGCATCTAATCTCTGACAAAAAAATGTCAACTTTGTGTCTCAAAGAAATGCCAGCAATTAGGATGACAATTACTTCAAACATTTTCTGCTGACCTATTATTTTTATAACCATCACAGGATTTATTCATTCTCACAAACGCTTGCCAAAAGGAAACTAAGCCATGTACAGGAAAATGTAAAATAATTTTGTAACATGGGATCAAACTATCTCAAAAACAATCCAACTTTTAAATATCACATATGAAGGAAAACAGTACCCATATTTCTTACTCCAACCTCAAATTGAATTAAAATAGGTATTTATTTTTCCCAAGAGTAGGCAGTTCACCCATGTGTGAACATTTAGTTTTTCTCAGTTAACTGCTGGTAGGGGTCACCTTACTCAGACAGGAATGTGGGAAGGCAAATTTTCAGAAATAGTCAACTGATACAGTGAGGCGCCCAGAGGGTAACAGAAGAAATTGTGCGTTATGTGTGCGTATACAACCTAGGAGGCACTCTGATGGGTCAGATTTATTTGCTCTATTACATTCTGAAAGGTTATTCCTAGAGAATCACAATGTACCTTTGGCAGTCTAACTTGTGTAGTGCAGTTGGTTGTTTTAGTAGAATGAAAACACCTTCTATGAATTAGTCAAGCTTAGAATAGACATAACTTAAGCATATTCCGTTATTGTTTGCATTTGCTAAAACACTTTGGATACTTTTATGACAGGTCACTGCTAAGTGCAGGGGAATGTTCCTCTCTAACACCAGAGTTGAATAAAATCAAATATAACCCAACTACTAACAGTTGTCACAGGCTTTCAATCCTACTGTATAACCCTTCCATACCCAGAGCTCTTCCCTTCCAAACAGGGCACACAATTTCTGCAGGTTCAACTGCTACAAACTCTGAATTAACCCACATCTCAGTTCTAACAGTTTCAACTGAAAAACATAAAGCTACAGCACCATCTAAAGGCAAAATCCTGAATCAAATGGTCATAGTTAGATCTACCTGCAGTCCCTGGGAAAGCGGGAGGAATCTCCTGTATTCATAGTGCTCTATATTCTTCCAGCACAGCTGCTAATTCTCAACACTCAGAGAACACTTTCTGAAATTTACTCATTAAAGAGTGTATAGAATAGGCCATGTGCTTATTCCAAGATGCAAAACTATACCTAATTTTTTTTTATATATCTCATTTTCATTGAAGTCATGTAACGCCACAAAGTGAACACAAATTACTGTCACACACAAGCAATACTTATTTCAGTCAATCATGAGGTGTTACACTACGCAGAGAGGCAACTGCTGGAGACAGAGGAGCGAATAGTCCAAGAATGGGAGACTACTGGCCACTATTGTGTTGAGAAAGGTTTTATTTATTTAATTAATTACAAGTAATCCTACTATTATGAGGCAATAATTTAGACTGATGAGTCTAAATCGGCACATTTGTTTAGTTTTTCTGTGTTATATTCAGAATCAGTGTAACTTTCAAACTCTGTTTCTGTTTGGCAACTCAGCAATATATTCAATGTGACTAACAAAATTAGGAGCATATGCAGTAGTGAATGGGACTCAAATACCTTTAATAAACTCTAGTAGAGAATTATTTTTACCTTGACTTGCTCATTGGAAGTCACAGCACAGAAAACAATCTCCGTAAATCCTTGGGAAGGGAACATCCGGAAGCAGATACCACCGATAACACGACCATCTTTTATTAACGCAAGGGTCTTGTGTTTCCTGAGACAAAAATAACAGTCACTTTAATTCATGTACGTAGTACATAAAGTGCCATTACCTTCCTTTTTTTAGAAACTTGATTCACTTCTTTCCATGATGCTAATGCAATTGTATATGCCTCTGTTAAGTTAGCTGCTTGTATCTACAGAAGAGTTGCTATTTTAACATCATGCTTTGAATTTACCATAAAATTCGTCATTCATGCAGCAAGGTCCTGGCCTTGCCAAGTACTCCTAGATACTAGGGTAATGCCCTATAAATAAGAGTTTTATTGCTTTCATCGAATCTATTGCTGACAGTTATGCCACTGCGCAGTTCTCAGGATGCTTTTACCCTGACTAAATTAGAAATTAATGGAGTTACAGGACAGCAAGTCCTTTCTAAGGGATTCCTATTTCCTTGCATGCACTCTCTATAGCTAAGATATCAGTTTCAAATGCAGCTGATGAAGCAAGAAATGATATTTCTTATTTCTAATCACCCACTCCTAGTGGAATGAAGACCAGAATAAATATCCATATCTATTGCACTTACATTGACTGCCAGGAAAGACAAAACGAGGTGCAATCTGAACTCGTGTCAAGGATTAAGAATTTTAGTGTAATCCTCAAGGTCTGGAAAGATTTATACTGCACCTGCTCTCTAGATTATTCAATACATGATATCATATAAATTGTATAAACAATACAGTACATTTACAGAAGGTATCTTTTTGGGGTGAAAGGTTGGTGCCAACAGTGAGCCCCTACTAAAAAAAGGTAGTCTGAAGAGTAGTTATATTTTATGTACCATCGTTGAAGGAGATTTTATACATTTTATATGTTCTTCTTTTTCTTGTACTTATTTTGGTGCTTTTTATTTGTGGAATGACAGCAACAATGTAGTAGCTTAAGCTTTTAATTTTGTTCACTCATGTTTGAGTTGTTTAAGCAACAAGATTCAGTAAGGATGGCCATTTCGGAAATAAGAACATTAAAGGCAATAATAAGTAAGGTAATTGCTGAAAGAAATTTGGGAAGAGAAGTGTTGGGCTCCAATATCTCACACTTAACGTAGGTTTGTGTATACCCACTACTCAGCATAGGTCTCCAGTGTGTGTCCCTGGAGATTCACGGCAGATGCTGGGCTACTCTGAGGTGTCCAGGCAATATGCTTCTTTTCCTTTGGGTCAACTGTTTGCCTCAGGCACATAAAGAAGGGCATTTTCTTGCTGTAGCAATATCCATACCTCTTTCTCAAGCACAGACCGCTCTCTAGACAGACACCTCTACTGAAGAGCACTTAAAGTACCAGCAGTTCCTCTCAGCTACTAGAAGAGTCTTTCCCAATAAGAAATATGGGAGAAGACCACGACTCAACACCACTACTTCAGAATTTCGCTTTGATGTTCGGTTATGAGGGAACCCGACTTCTTCAACCAGTAGCCTCTGCTTGAGATCACAGTGCTGCTAAGGCTCCTAAACTCAGACAAGAACCCGGTGCTGCCTCTCTCTCTCCCAACCGAACGGCGTTTGCCCCCATGTAGGAGAGGTGAAAGAGTCTGGACTGGTGCTGGCCCTCACGAGACAAGTGCTGTTTCCCTCTGAAGAACCCAGGAGAAGGCCCCAGGATCAGCCTCCTGTGCCTGGAGACCAAAGTCCTGCCCAACAGTCCCCAGCACTGGGCTGTTTGTGCTTCAGGGATGGCACAGACCCAGCAGCAGCAGCGTTCGCTGGCACCGAGAAAGTATTGCCGAGGGAATGCTAGTCAGCCTAAAAGCAGAGAAAATGGTTCCAGAAATGTTTTCATAACTGCTGCAGCTATAATACCGGGCACAAAGACAGACGCTGATATCACCGGTGGTGGAGAAAGGCTCTTGCAGAAACCAGGCTGTGTAGTTGGCTGTGATCGGCTCAGTCAGAGCTTGTCGAGGTCTCTGCTGACACACAACAACGAGCCCGCAAGCATCCTCCACTGTGAAGTGTTGCGGTCAGTACAGCAAAACCCTAGGCTATGACTGGGCATGGATCGTTCAGAGGCAGAAACTTTGGGAGAACATACTGGTCAAAAGGAAGCAGACTCTACAGGAAACACAATGGTGGAAAAGTGGACACTTCTGAGGAGAACCTCCCTTCGTGCTTGAGCAGCTGAGGCACAATTCAGTCAGGACACTAGGGTAGGTGGAGGACCATGTGCATGCAACCTGTGGATGCCGCTAGAGCCAATGTGTCTCTTTTCAAGTGCCTGCAGTGCAGAGCTGCACCCAAAGCAAGACACAAAACTCGCACTGATAAAGAGAAAAGCAATGTGCTTGGGTGAGGAGTGATTTCTCCCATGCTGATTTAAGTGCTGCTGTTCTTCATAAATCCTACAAGTTCTTCTCATTGAAAATCTGCTGCCATTTGGTTCACAATCTCCACAGACAGAGGATGGAGCAGCCTGCAAGTTAGTATGGGCCTGGAAACCACTAATAAGCGCCATAATTACTTTCTGACTTTCAGTTCTAACACTCGAAAGTACAAGATAGGTAGGAACCTTCCCCACAGGCCCACGTCCCTGTATTGGGTTTGCGTGGCAAGGTTTTGGTAGCAGGAGGACTACAAGGGTGACTTCTGTGAGGAGGTGCTAGAAGCTTCCCCCATGTCCAACAGAGCCAATGTCAGCCGGCCAAAGACCCCCCTGCCGCTGGCCGAGGCTGAGCCCATCAGCGACAGTGGTAGTGCCTCTGGGATAAACATATTTAAGAAGGAAAAAGTTGCTGCACAAAAGCAATTGCAGATGGAAAGAGGAGTGAGAATCTGTGAGAGAAACAGCCCTGCAGACACCAAGGTGAAGAAGGAGGGGAGGACGTCCTCCAGCCACCGGAGCAGAGATTCCCTTGCAGACTGTGGTGAAGACCATGGTGAGGCAGGCT